TAATGGGGAATTCACAGTGTAGATGGGCTTGGGTCGAGTCATTACTGAAAGGCAGGGCTGCAAGGCATAGTCATACAGAAAGGGCCTTGGATGTTGAGTAGGCAGCAGGAAGATGAAAAAGAAGGAAAGCAGAAAAATTGGTCTATAAACTTACAGTTTCATAGGTATTATGGAAAGGGTCTTTGTGATCATTCAGTCTGACTTCCAAGGTAATATAAGCCATAGGACTTCTCAAGCTTAATTCAGTGTGGTCTAACCAAGGACCCTATTGTAAACACAATCATCTAGTTTTGCAACATAGTATCTTTGCTCAAGGCAGAATGAAGGGGACAGGTCCCCTGGAGACTTGCAAGAAACCTATCACTCAATTTAACCTGTGACTGTCTAGTAAACAAGGGGAGAAAGTGGTACAAGCATAACCTATGCATTCCCCCAACTCCAGAGTACTGGCCAACACCAAGAGTAAGAAGTCCATTTTCTGTCCCTCTGCTGATTACTATAGAAACCGAATGTTATATGTGGACCTGTCTGCCAGGAACAAGACTGAGTTCTATGAGTTCATGTCACCAGGCCTTTAAAACACCTGTCAGATATAACACATGTTGGTGTCTCCTGATCTGAGCTGGGTGTGATCCGTTGACTGTCCTGTTCACTTGACAGTTTGCTGGTCATGTGCTACAATGGCTATTGACATTGTCAAAGTGGCAGCAATATCCCAAAGCAGAATCTGAGCTGTTACCTGTGCGCAGAGGTACAGCCCACTCATTTGAACAGTTCTTGGTTCTTGGAGCCTTCAAATATCTGTAACCTTTGCACATTACCTCTGTGTGCTTTGAATTGCACATTCTACCTGTTTTCTCCTGTGCCTAGGAACCAGGGCACAGAACAAGCCATGATTTGCTCCTCTTTAACATATAATTGCTTATTATAATTACCTATAATTACTCATTGAATAGGGCTGTTTTTGAGGTTAAGTACCTCTTACTTTATTTTCAGACTGGATTTCAGCTCACAAGTGGTAGCTAGGAATTGATTTCAGCTCTCAGGTAGTAGCATTCAGGATGTGATCTGAATGCACGGGGCTGACCATTTAGTGATGCAGTCACTAAAGCCGCGGTAGTCTTTTTTAACCGTGGAGTGGGTTAGAGATGTCAGGGAGCTTGGTTTCTCTGCCATTGCCTCACCATACCCGAACTGACTCAGTGAAATCACTTAACCCTTCTATCCTCCAGCTTCCCCTTCCAGAAAAATATACAGGTCTAGCTCAGCTCCTGGTACGTATGAGGTCAGAAAATGGGAGTGCCCACTTCAGACCCGCAGAGCATAAGCTACAGCTTTGCATTTCTTTAGGAGCCCACAGAGGTATACCTGGCATGCTGTGCACTGCCCTGAGCAGCATTGGTGCATGAAGTAGCCGTCAGTGCCTGTGCTCTTGATGGTACTGGCAGTGGAGATGGCTGGGCCTGCAGTGTGGCAGCTCTTATTTTTCTAGCCTTCCCTAATGTGGCACCTGGAGCTAGTATCCCAGTTGCCCCCCTTTCTCCTTCCCTGTGCTACTATGAGCTAGAGGCCTGTGCTTTGGATTCTATGTTTAGATTCCAAAAAATGAGCTCCCAAATAGTGTCTGAATCTGCTTTTATAAAAGCTTTAGAAATGTGGTGTGTGCTGCATAAATGATGCAATAAGCAATAAATTTCCTTGCTAGTGAGCCCCAGTAGGCATGCTGTGTTTTAGCTATGCCACCCAGGGCAGTGAAGTTGTCAGCTTTGATACACATGCTACATATTTTACAGATAGTCAGTGCTTGGACCCATACTTCCTTCCCTCCCTCAAAAAAAAAAAAAAGAGAAACAAAAAACCCAAATGACCAATAAAACCTAGGTGCTATAGGAGAAGAAACTCAGTAGAAGATTTTTTCATTCTGAATTAGTACTGAGCCAGTGCTGCAGCATGGTTCGTAGGGGTACTCTGATGCTGCAGGGTGCATTATTTTGGATGAGATTTAGCACTCGGGTTGTGACCGTTTGTACTCAGAGAGCTCCCTGTGTGCTTGCCAGGGTTGAAGCGTTGACCGCAGCCCAATCCTAACTTTGGTAAACAAATGCGCTGCCAACCTCAGTTCTCCTTGTCGCTTTGCAAGAAGTTTTTGTCTCTCCTGAAAGTCGTGGTGCAATGTTGCTGTGTGCCATGAAAGAGCTGCTTCATCACCCCCCAGAATAATCATACTTAGCTGATAAATAGCACATTCTAGCCATAGATGCTGATGCATTTGACAAAGGAAGGTCAGAATCATTATTGCCTTTTGGCAGAGGAGGAAGCTGAAGGTCAGAGAGGGGCAGTTGCTTCCTCATCACTGTCCCACACACTGCAAGTTAGTGGCAGAACAGGAGCAGAACCCTGATCTTCTGACTCCCCACTAGGTCACACCCCACTAGGTCGCTACTTTTGAGCTGTGCATGAAGTGAATCCAGACGTGTCAGGCCAAATTCTGCTCCTTTCCACCTGTGTATATCCAGATAAATTCCATGGGAAGTTAACAGAGTTCCACCTCGAAAATAGCTCTACAAATACTAATAACAGTGCTGTTTTGGAGGTACTCGTGAGAGCTAGTAAATAAAAGCGGAATTTGATCCAAGGTCGGTATGGCTTCCTGGGCCCTTCAGGTTGGAAGATCCTATAAATGATTCAGCTAATGTTATTATTGCCATTGACTTGAGAGCAGGGCAGAACTTGGACTAAGCTACTTGTTATATTTGTTTAGAATCATTTTATGCATTGGCTAAGTAGAGTGTACGCTATACAGGAACTAAAATCTTTCCAACCTATATTTTATATATTAACCTACCATTGCTAGTTTCAGCCTTATTTTCTGTTCCTCTGTATGGTGGCTAGTACATCCCCTCCTTTTCACGCACCCCTCCCCCATACCAAAACGTATATTGCCAGAGGAGAGGAGGGATTAAGTGGAATTTGCCTTTCAGCACCAGGTTATGTGCTTGAATCCTCTTTAGGTGAGAGCTCACTCAAAACTATTGCTGTCTCAAAGCTTCTTCACCCAAACAAAACAAGGCAGTGATTTCAACGGCATGTGTGGCCTCTTTGTTGGCAATCTGCAAATAAATAAATAGCTATGATCAGGCTATGGGTCCCAACCAACTTCTTACTCTTAGACATATTGGCAGGAAGGTGTACAGGAAGCTTGTGTTGTTGCTTGCTCTCCAAGCTGTGCCCGAGTTAACAGAGAAAGCACATCAATCTGCAAGACTTTCAGGCTAACAGTAAATTCACATCCAATTAAAACCCTATGATGTATGTCATTTGACATACCACTTTCTTCAGTAATGCAGCAGAGTAGGCTGTGGTAATTCAGCCTTTCTTGAAAGGGTTCAGTTCTGTCTTCCAATGCAAAACACTGAAACTGTCTAATGAAGTTTAACACTAATAATTCATATGGGCTATGTGGCATTAGGATAAATGAGAAGAAATGTGATGACTTGGATTGGAATAGTGAATGATGGCAGATCTGCTAATGCTTGTCATGACCACACACCCTTAAGGGAGCAGCTTTGCACTTGCAAAGAAATGGACATCAAGTGATCGAACTGGGTCCTTATTTCTGTCTTGCAGGATTCTGTACCATGTGGTTGGAATCACAGGAGGTTTTGCAGCCAGGGATATGGGAGCGAAGGTAATGCGGCACTCTGAACTTGTCTGTGTTTTCTTTTTCTCTAGGATCTCCTCCTGGTTCCAAAATGGTCCTTGAAGGTTTCTTCAGCTGCTGGAATGGAACAGTGATCAAACTGAGGCAAGCATGTGATTTCATCAGGGACTGCACAGAGGGAGAGGATGAGGGAGACATTTGCAGTAAGTAAACTGAAATCTCAGCTTTGTCCTTCCTCCGCCCTTCTAGAAAACAGGAGCCATTTGCTTCCCCATCATAGGGAACTGAAAGATTTAGAAACCTGGTAGTGCTCATATGATCTCTCTGGATATCTAGCTTGGGCTGGCTATGAACATCTAAAGTATCCCTGCACTGGTATGCACTGGGTCTTATGGAAAACCTGTGATCAATGCCCCAAAAGCTCTTACTGCTTTGTCCCAAACTTCTGATCAGGCGTGCAGGGTAATGTGGTTCCACCTTTGATGTCTGTCACCAGCAAATGGGCTGGTCAGAATCCGTGGTGTCATATTTTTATATGAAGGTATGAATAACTGGGACCTGAACAGCGACCATCCAAAATAGGTCTCGTAGGCCCCTGACAGATGTTATGCTTCAGATGCGATTAACTGGTTAATCACACCTTTAGTGACCTGGCTACATGTTCAATCAATTAGTGGTGTGATAAAACAAAGAATAAGCCACAAAGTTATAACACAAGCTGTGTAATAACTGTGGCTGGTTTTTATCACATCTTTAATTGAATGTGTGGCTAGTGCCCAGCCTCTGGAGCATGCAGGAGCCTGTCATGTGCTATAGAGCCTGGGAAGCCCCTCAGCTGATTGGTGCTCCCAGCCACAGGAGTGCATCCTGGACTCCTGAGGCTGGAAAACTGGTCAGCTGATCACAGCATATGCTTCTTTGGTTGGGAGTCCCAGTTACCTGATGGGGCTCCCGGCTGTGGGAGCATATAATGTGTTCCCCTGGCTGGAAGCCCCCATCAGCTGATGGAGCTCCCAGATGCAGAGTGCACTGCTGTGACTGGGAGCTGAGCTTGCTACTTCCCAAAAGGAGCCTGGGTTCTTCCCTGCACCAGCAATATGACTTTATGTAATCTGATGTGGGATCCTACGATAGCGCTTCATGTGTGGCATGGCAGGAAGTGCAGTTGTTGGGATCCTGCATCAAATACCATTGCGCCTTGACTTTAACATCAGTCAGGGATCGCAGGCCATCAAATGTCACGTAGTCGAATCAGTGACTATTTCCACCTCAGGAGAAATTAATGAGCAATCCCAGAGCAGGTTGCAACAAACACACCTTCATGGTAGCAGCATTGCATCAGGGATGAACTGGAGCAGATTTGAGTCAGAAATACAGAGAGAGCCTTGCATTGCATATGACCGAGCCCTTGAGCCCTCTGATTCTGTCTCTTAGACATTGCACTACGATTAAAAAGCCATTTAAAAAAAATCTCATTTATAATTCTACTTTTTGCCTAAAAACCTTCAAGCAGAGCTTTTAAGAAAACTTAATGTGTTTTTTTTATTGCACTCTAGGTTTAATTAAAAACATTTAATAGATGGTGACAATTAGTAGGATTCTTTTTTACCACCAACTGCATTTCACTTCATTTCACTAGGGAAGTATATTATTTATCCAGCCCAATAAAAGGGCTCATCAATAAATGTATGTCATGTCTACATCTGCTGTGCATGGATGCACACTGCAAGTGAAATCCTGCTTTGAGTGGTGGGAGCAGAACAGAGTGGGAAGCAGAGCTGTATCAGCTGTGATTATGATTCAAAAACCATTCTCCCCATGCAGGGAAGACCTACAGGAGTCTGCTTACTGTGGTTTTGAAAAGCTAGGATGCACCTCTGGCTAGCATCTCTTGCCAGTCACAGCATGCACACACCAGCTGGCCGAGGGGAGGAGGGAGCTGTTGGACTACACCCAATACTGGTCCAACTGGCAAATAAGGCAGCCCCCTTCTTGCACTGACATGAAATGCATGCTCTGTTTATGGAACATGTTGCCTACTGTTGAAATGTAGCCATTTGCAGGATTAAACACAGCAGTTGCTGAGCAGTGCGCGGGAACACTACACAAAAATCTGAAGCAGGAAAGGAAGGATATTGGACCTGGTTCTCTGCAGATGGAACTTCCTTGCAGTCAGTGGAGTTATAACAACAAAGATTTTGTCCCACCATGTCCAATAGACATACAGAGAAAACAAAACATAATTAACAGAACTTAGCTGGGACTGACACCCTGTAGCCATAGAGAAGCATCATTCCAGGATTTTGTGATCACAGTTAGACTGTTAGTTTTGCATCTCATCTGAAGACAGTATCTTGTGTAACACCATGCTCCTTTGAGTCATTTCTTTCAGAAACCTCTGTTTTTGAGGAGTCCTGCAATGCAACAATGATAGGGTCCAGTCCTCTTCAGTTTATAAGATGTAATGAGAGCTGTGAGTTTCTAGTCTTGAGCGTGGGGTTGCATGCTGCTTGTTGCAAGCCTGTTCAATTCTGATTAAATTCTCTGCTATTGTAAAGCCACCCCATTAGTATGCTATACTGAGTTGTGTTGGCATAAGTTTTCCTTCACAGAACAGAAATGGTCAAATATTTTAGATATCAAATATGTCTATCTGTCAACTCACTACACAAAGTACCTAATCGTTCAGCAATTGGGTTCTTGTTTAGTCCTGAACAATTTAGATATTTTCATCAGCTTTTTTCAACCATGGCAAAAAATGAATCAGATTTCCAGGGGGCTACTCCCCCTCTGCCCCCTCCCTCTCAAGGCTTTGCTGCCACATACACAAAAAAGCTGTTAAGCTGTAGCCATACTAGAAAATGGGGAAGAGGGGTCTTCTAAAGCCATCTTTAACCTAGTAGTTATCTTTTTATCAGCTTTATGAGAGGCTGTTTTTTGTTTTGGACATTCAGACTCTGCATCTTTTCTTTCATTCCCCACTTCCACCTTCCCCAACCTTTTTGTTTTGTTCTTTAGCTGCAAAATTTACTTTAAAGACTACTGTTGGTTAACACCTTTGACTTACTACTGGTCAATGAAAATATAACAGTGATTTTTCTGCCTACAGCCAGTTAGTCTTCGTAGAGCCATTAGAATAAGTGTACCCCTGAAAAAAGAAATAATTTGGTTTATAATCAAACAGTCTTGCAGGGAAAAGAAACCCCTTTAAAGAGACAGAAACAGACTTAGATTCCAACCAGTAGTGGCTTAGGGTAAGATGCACAGATTTACCAGATCAGGAAAAGTGTGTAAAGTGATTTTCTCTGTTGCAAACTGGAAACATCGTTGATTCCATGATTTCACGCTTTCCAGCTGATACTATTCCCCTGTGTATAAAATACGGGTGTCATTACATGAAGTTATGACCCTAGCCACTATGCTAAGGTCATTCTCTCCCTCCCTTGTTCACTCTCATTCAATTCATATTTAAGTATTTTTTGCACAGGGGAGCAGCATCAATAGGAGAAACCAAGACATGCACCTTAGATCACCAATTATGTGAATGACTCAAGCTCCACTCAGTGTGTGAGTGAAGGGAGTGTGCGTATGTGCCTGTTGGGGGATGAGTGTTCATGGTGTCTAGACTCTAAATGAGTTGGTGTGTTTCATTCAGAACATGAGCCAGTTCTATAGGGACTAGTTCTCTACCCAGCTGAAAATGTGTGAGGAGAACAACCGATTCATCTGTACTTTGGGGTTGGCTATGACTCAACTGAAGTTATCCATAGATAAATGATGAAATGACTTGTTACCATGCAGTACCCTCTCCCTTCCTATCTTGCTTAATTGTTGTTGTGTTGCTTACCGTTCTCCCCATCTCTCAGCTAAAAGCAGGAGATACAGCAGAGAATTCTAATCACCAGGGATCCTGGTTTTCACTGATTAAAAAAATCCCCAATTTTCAGATTAAAAAAGTAATCCAAAATCCACATTTTTCTATGATTAAAAAACCCTACTCTCTCTCTCATCTTTCTCTCTATATATATTTGAAGAAAATGACACATTATATATATATATATAGAGAGAGAGAGAGAGAGAGAGAGAGAGAGTAGGGTTTCATTTTAATCATGGAAAACTGTGCATGGGGGGTTAATCCAAAAATTGGGGATTTTTTTTTATCAGATAAAACCAGGATCCATGCTAACCAGTGTAAGTTCTGATCTCAAAGGTTCCAGCTGACACTGCAAAAAACCCCTTTATTTAGTGTGCTGACATTGGTGGTCCCTTATTTGCACTTTATTTCTGATAGACCTTGGCAGACCTTGCTTTGGCAGAATAAGGGTGGCAATGAAAACATAAACTTCGAGAGCTGCAGAGTGTTAAGGATTAGCACACTTAGATGATACTCTGCTCCATGATCTGAAACTTCCTACTATATCTAGTAAAAAGCCATAGATCTTAAGGCAAGAAGAGATCTTTACGATCATTGAGTTTGACCCTTTGCAATAAGACTGGCCATAGAAATTTACCCAATAATTCCTTCAACAAGCCCATAACATGATTGATCTGCAACAGATCTTTTCCAAAGATAACCAGTTTTGATTCAAAGTCTTTGAGCAACTGAAAATACACTCTACCCCTCTGCAAGTTGTTCCGGTATTTAAGTTTCCCCAGCGTTTCATGGACAGGGTATGTGAACTAAAAATGGAAACTCATAAATCTTTACCTAGCTTTCAAACTGAAGCTAAACCATTCTGAAGGTCTGACAGTGTCTGGTGAAGGATCGAGTCATCACCGTCTCTACCTCCTTCCTTTGTGGAAAGGGCCCAATGTGGTTTCTGCTCCCTCAAAGTATTTCTGGAAGCTATCTATGATGTGTCTTCTGAATTCTCTTTTGTCTGTGTCCCTCATTCCCAGTGGGCAGTTCTCTGGTCCCTCAGGGTCTGAACATTTTGTTATTGATCTGTCAGTAATAATGCTGCCAATTACATCAGGTTTCACCAACCCTAGTAACTCCTGCCTTCTTGACTCAGGCAGAAATCTCCCTGTGGTCAAGGGAAGCTTGCCTAGATAGGAAATTTAGAAGGGAGAACCATGAGTCTGGATATTGCTTCTTCAGTTCAGAAAGGTTTTCTTCCTTTGTGCAGTACATAAAGCCCTAGTAGCCTGCATAATGCTAATAAGATCCTGCTACTTATACGTTCAAAGAATCATGGCAATGTGCTTTGACAGAGTATCTCTAGCTTAAAAGCTTTTCTTGGAGTTGCAATAAATGCATGTCATAGTTTTTCTGTGTATATGAAGCATTAAAGAACAGCAGTGAGGAATACAGTGCATCCAGAATACAGGACAACCAGAAATTCATAAAGGTGCATCTGTGGAGGCAGAAAGAAATGTACTGTGAAAGGAATAGCTCTTTATACATCTCTGTTTCTATATGTACAGTGAGCTTAGCTGTGTGTTTTTTCTGACCTCCAGGTAGAGTTTGTTGTTTAGATGTTCCCCCCCTACTGCTGTAAATTGCTTACACCATCCTAGCTATCACAGGACAGTAAAATGAATTCAGTTGCACACAAAGTTGTGCTATTTCTGTGGGTATTCAGGGTACATTTGTTTTTGTCATTTTCTTAAAATTTCAGCTTCAGGCTGAGCAATGAAATGGAGCTAAGTTCTATAGAGAGGTGGGACACAAGAGAGCTTTTCTTGGCTTAGCAGCCCAAAACTGAAAGGCAGACTGAATGAATCTGGAGACCATAAAAGGCAAAACATTAAAGCAGCCTTTAATTAATTGCTGGGGTTTTGTTCAATTTACCCTGTTGGCCCCACATTAAACCCACAGACACATGGCTATGTGAAATTTGTTGTGCTCCTTAATTAGGTTCCTTGAAGGTCAGATGTTCCCATTACAGATGCTTTCATCACAATTGTTGCTAACTGGCCATCTTGCAACATAAAGATCAGTGGGCTATAGAAACTGAAGCTCTAAAGGTGAGAGTGGAGATGAATGTTGGGTGGGCAAAAAAATAACCTATGATCATTGGTTAATCAATTGCCAAAAGAGATTCACAGTGTCATGTCTGATTTCCCTCTTATATAGCAGCTGCCTCTTTGGTATTTATGAAAATAGATTTTTTTCCCCACCCCTGAAATTCTCTGCTTTGTAAAGTGCTTCTGAAACTGAAGAAGGGCAGTAGTTAGTTGTGTTAGTCTGAAGTTAGGCAGAAGGTGAGGCAGGGTAGCAGCTTAAAGACAAACTGTTTCAGAGGGGAATGAGCTTTCACAGGCAACAGCCTACTTTATGAAATGCAATGAATGGACTGGTAGAAAGAAAAAATTATATATAGGAGGGATGGGGGGGTGGGAAAACGCTGCTAAGAGGGAATTGGTTGTTGATTCGGTCCATTGAGATGAACAAGTTAGTTAACAGCCAATTCAAGTAATAGAAGCGATAGGACTGAGACATCCACTGATGTCCATCCACTGATCTGTGGATGATTTCTTGCTCTACAATTTCATATTCAAGTTGGGTTTTAATTTTTTTTTCATTTAAGGACAAATACTCCAAATCCATGACAGAACATTCAGGAAGGTCCAAGCGTTCTGCCACAGGCCTTTGTATGTTTCTGGAATTGGCATCCATTCATGTTGGATTGGCATTTATTCATTTTTTTACATATCGTTCCATCTGGCCTATGTAGATAGCAGAGGAGAACTGTAAGATGCTTACAGCATATAGGATGTTGGTGGAACAGAAGGTGAATGAACCCCAGGTGTTATAATTTGTGGTGCTTGGTACAGCACTGACATGGTCCATGTTGGTGAAGGGAGAACATCTGGAATCTGGATCTGTAGAAAGGCTGGGTGACTTGGTGAGACTTATCAGAGAGATGTTGTTTGGAGCTGGGGTGCTGCCTACACAAGACAGGCTTGTAGGACCAGACCAGGGCCACTCTGGATTAAGTCCACAGACCAGGCCCCGAACCAGCCCTGTGCATTGTACTCTGCATGCAGGGCCAGGACTGGCGTATGCTGCAGCGCACAGGGCCAGTCTGGGTCTTATACTGCATGCAGCACCTATATTGAACCAGTCCTGTGTGCTGGATCTGGCACACAGGGCTGGTCTGTGGGCCTGATCTGATCCATGGGGCTAGCTGGTTTTGACATTCCTAAGCTCCATGATGCATCTGTTTAATGTACTTATATCATCTTCAGGACTATAATATGAGAGTGTTTCAAACTCTTTTTATTGTATTGATCCTCCAGCAGTCCTGAGGGAAAGCCAGGGGGCTGTTGGTTTGGAGTGAGGGGCAATGGCATGGGCAGGGCACCAGCATATCAGGGCTGGTCAGTGCCACAAAGTGTGTGGGGGGGGGGAAGGCGGGGGGAGACACGGGACAGCCACAGCTGGATCTGTGTCCTGGTGAGTGAAGGGGGCTGGGCCAGCTCTGATTTTCTATGATAAAAAACCCAAAATCAAATGCCAACATTGATAGGTATTTAGAATTTATTTTATTATATTGATTGAGGCACTGGAAGACTTCCAAATTGCTTTAAAATTGTGACTATATCAATAAAACATTGTGCTCAACTGATACCTATATATATATATAGTGGTGTTTCATTTTAATCACAGAAAAAACATGGATTTTGGGGGGTTTGATCAGAGGATTTGCCATTTTTAAACAGAGAAAACCAGGATCCCTGGTTACTAGTGACAGTAACCAATAAATAGCATTGTTCTTCCTGGACAATTATGTTAAGTTCCCATGTTAAGATAACCCCAAGGGTAGATCCATGAAACAGGTGAAGTAGGAAAATTATAAGTGCAGACAGAAGTGACAATTTTCACCTGGTCTGGGTCCTGGAAGTTCTCTACAGCCATGACCAAACACAAGTTCACAGCTGCAGAGCACTTTAAAAGTGATCACCTTCATTGCATGAGGGTGCAGATGAAGATGCTCCAAAATGGAACACCCTCAGTAACTTCTGTTTGCATATACTGGGAGCAGGGCTGAGCTGATGCAGCTTATTCCAGCTGCTGGCACTGTCTTCAGAATGAGAGTGGGAAAGAGACCAGAGGAAGTTTGCCCCCTGCCCCCCAGGTGGCTGCCCTCCCACTCCAGTGTGGCTGGGGAAACCCCAGAATATACCTCCCTTTCCTGTCTTCTCCTGCCTCCCAACCTGAGAGAGCACAGGAGCTTGGAGGGGGGCAGGGCTAGGGAACAGATGCTGCAGAGATGGAGCCTCTTTTGATGGATTGGCTCCAAATTAGAGCTGATCACCCATCCTCCCTGACCGAACAGCTAACATCAGTCGGGTCGGGAGGATTGGTCTAACTCGTGGCACTTTCTGTAAAGTGCCATGTGTAAGACCGGGGAGCTGCACTTCTGTCTGTGGCTTATAAGTAGGTGAAAGATTGCTGAAATAAGTAGATTTTTAAGAGAAGGTATTTGGATAGTGCAGGATAGAGACTTCTGCAGTCTGGGACAGCCTGAGTGCATGTGCTGTATCACAAGAACTGGAAGGAGCTGAAGGGAGTAGTACAAAGAGAGAAGGTTAGAAAATGGATAGGAATGAGAACAGAGAAAGCATTTCACAGTTTTGTAAAGGGAGGGGACTCAGCTAAAATGTGGTTCCTGTTTTGATTCATATGCTCAAAGGAAACTAATGAACAGTTAAGTCTCAGTGCCTGGGGCACAGGAACCTATATGAAATCCCAAGCTAGTATCAGAATGAATGAGCTTCCAAACTGCAAGTATGATTAAAAGTCAGATGTTCCCTTTGCATCCACCTGTCTCATGGAGTGTCTTAAAAGGCAAGAAGGTGCCATTACTCCCTTCTGCAAATGCAGGAACAGAGGCCCCAAAAGTATCACAGTTTGCATGAGGTCACAGGGTAGTACATGGCAGAAGTAAGAGCAGAACCTGAGTTCCAGCAGCCAGTGTGATTCACCAGACTGCACAGGCCTCAATAAAAGGAGAGGGACAGCATGTTAAAATGTCTTTCACTGATGGTAATTTTTGCTTCCTAGATTGGGCTGCGGGGCCTGAAATTTGGAAAACTTGGCCAAGGGTAGATCCTGGAAGATGTAGAGACCAACCACATAGGAGACCCTATAAGAGGGGCGGGCCAGATGCGGCCCACCAGGCCATTCTATCCAGTCTGCTGGGCTCCTAAAAAATTTAGAAAATTAATATTTATCTGCCCCTGGCTGCCTGTCATGCAGCCATCGATGGCTTGCCAAAACTCAATAAGTGGCCCTCTGCCCGAAATAATTGCCTGCCCCTGCCCTATAATGTCTAGTGTGCAGATTTGTCCTCTTGTTAAGAAGACAGTCTCACTTTGAAGTATGTTAACCTTTTTTTCTTTCCTCCTTCTATCTTCTCACCTGCAACATGATGGATGCTTAATGCCAAGAGGCCCAAGGGCTATGGGAAGCATCAGCATGCCCCAGAATCACTCAGGGTAAACATTCTCTTCTTGCTTTCTTCCTGTGCCCAGGAATCCACTAATCATCTCCTTTGTGGTTTTTCTGGACTCTGTCTCCACAGAAAAGCTTCCTTCCAGTTTTTACTGTTCGTTTGAAGAAGGCGACTGTGGCTGGACGCAGGGCTCTTCTGCTTCTCACATTCTTCCATGGCAGATTGGGAACCCGGAGTACGGCCGCTTTCCTTCACTAGAAGGTATGGGACAGAGCAGTCTCAATACGAGCAGGTGGGGGTACCTTTTCAGTGTTCAGCCAAGAAGTCACAGGTACCTTGTTTTCACACATTACTTCATAGTCAGCCATCAGTACAGCAAAGCCCTCCTTTCTTCTAAGATGGATCCTTCACCCTTCTGAATTGCCTCTTCTCTTTGTGCAGATCCTGACTATGCTCCCTTTTGCCCCTGGCTATTCCTTACTTTTCTTCCCACCACTCAGTTCCCTTTTAGCCCCATCATTTCATAGTCCATTCCTTCATGCACGCTCTATCCTGACTCTCTGCCCCTCCCAATCACTGATGGCCCCACCAACTTTTCTCTTACAAACCCCTGGTTTTTAAGCAGTTTATATCTCAGGCACTGAACTACCACGGGGCTGAAATATGACAGACTACCTGCTTCCAAGAATATTTTCCCTAATACAGTAACATAAATCAGATGAGACATTTATTGCTTAAGTGCAGAGCAGCTAAAGGAATACAGCAATAATAGAGCACTGCATCTGCCATAAACACTGTATCCCAAGAATGTTTACAAAGTTAAATGACACATAGTGAGGCAGTAAGGGTTAGATGCTCCACAGGTGTAAATTGGTGGAGATTCATGGACTGCAGTGGAGCTAAACTGATTTATGCCAGCAGATGATCTGACCAACAATATTGCAGAACAAAGAGAAATTGAGCCAAAGGGAAGGAAGGAAGGGAAGATCATGAAAGGGCACAGTGGGTAACTGACAGGAAAATGTACCACTTCATGATTTATCTAGGGGTCATAAAATGAAACTAGGCCTGTGCGAAGCAGCTAGTATTCACTTTGGATTTGGCCGATTCGGGGGACAGTGATTTGATTCAGTGATTCAAATCACTATCCTGATTCGATTCAGCCAGATCTGATTCAGAGATTTGGCTGCTGAATCTCTGAATCAGCCAGGCCAGGCCCATGCCCCGCCCACTCTCCCAGCCGGGCAATGGCTGCCCCACCTCCCAGCACTTGGAAAAAGAAAAGCCCCAACCAACTACTGGGTCCCAGCTGCCTCCCACTGCCCCCCACTGCCCCATGCTGCATGGGGGGCTCTGCATGAGCCGCGTGACCCCTCCCCCTGCCCACTGTCCCAGCCCCCGCACTAGTGCTCCGCCTGCTCTGGCCCTTTAAGAAAAAAAACCCAGAAACCCCAGACTCACCGTTCCTGCCAGCGGGAGGTGATCCCTACTGTCCCACACCATATGGGGGGTTCTGCATGAGCCCCCAAAGCCCCAAGGCCACTGCAGGAGCATTGAGTCCCAGGGGTTTTCTTGTTTGCTTTTTTTCTTAAAGGGCCAGAACTGGCCCGGGTGGGGCATCCATGGTGGGGCTGGGGGAGCAGGGGGGAGTTGGGGGGCTCATGGCAGAGCCCCCCATGCAGCATGGGGTAGTGGGGAGCAGTGGGGATCACCCCCCCCCAGGCCGGCAGCACCCGGTGAGCAGTGGGGCTTTTTATAAAATACCAAGCTGGCTCAGGTGAGGCAGCCACGGGGGGGCTCGGGGAGCAGGGAGGGCCAACGCCCCTCTCCCCCAGTTCCCCTCTTCCCCACCCCTAGTGCTTACCAGCTCAGAGTCAGCTGCAGCTCTCTGCTGCAGCCACTGGGGACTGTCCAAATCATCAAAGCTCTCCAAATCTTTTCTGAAGATTCAGAGAGCTTTGAATCAATTCGGACCTTTGAATTGGCCCCCTGATTCGATATGGATTCAGAGATTCAGCCACCGAATCAGGCCTAATCTCCTCTGAATCAAATCACCACCTGAACCTTAGCACAACCCTAGTAGTAAGTTTAAAACTAACAAAAGGATGTTCTTTTTCACACATGGTGTGTAATTGAAGTGTGGAACTAATTGCCACCAGATGTTATGGAAGATAACAGTTCAGCCACATTAAAAAAAGGATTGAACAACAACCCAACAACACAAAAGGAACTGAACAAAGTCTAGGAGGAAAGGTGCATCACTAGCTACTGAGCATGGGAGTTAGGGATACAGCCTCTGAACTAGAACTTCCCTAGACCTTCAATCCTGGAGGCTGCAAGTAGGGGAAGAACAGTGAAAAAAATGCCCTGGTCATACCTAGTCCACTCTTCCTTTCAGCATCCACTGTTTACCACTGTTCAAGCTAGGGACAGACATTCAAAAAGCCTGAGCCTGAATTGATTCTATTTTTGCAGGCTAGTCTAACCTGCAGAGCTTGAACTGATTTGCAATGGGATAGACATTAACTTTTGAATCAAGAAACGCAGGCTCATGCCTGCAGTGGCTCAGGCTAGAAGCCAGGGGGTACTAGAGCAGCCCTCCCTTTCCTTCCACAATGCTGAGCTGAGGGGGGCGTGGCCAGGCCCTGGCAGAGTGCTCTGATTAGGAAGGGGTTTAACCCGCCACCCCAGCCTGCACAGTCTCCAGCTGGGGTGTGCCTGAGGGGGAGGGAGAAACAGCCCTAGCCCAGCTTTTCCTTGCTCACTGTTCAAGGGGCAGGACGTGTTACTGGACCCCAGGCCACAGCTAGCACTCTGAGGCAAAGGGAGGGTGGAGAAGGAGGACTGCTTGTGTGGAGTGCATGAATCTGTTAATGATACTGAGCTTTTCAATCTCCCTCTCCCTCCTGCTTCATACTGTCTGCAGCAAACTGACAGGCAAGGGAGCCAGCAGAGAGTTGATAACACAAAGTTTATCAGCCCATTAAGAAAAAAGTTTCGCTCATTAGATCAAGCTCTTCTTAAACAGCTTTTTCCAAGGAAGGAACGGAAGAACATTACCAGCTTACCTGTTGATTAGCTCCCAAAAGTCTTAAGCAGACACTGTTCTGTCTGCCTTTGTCCCAGTGAAATTGGAAATACACAGATACCTCTCAGCATTAACTAGCATGGGGGTGGCCATGACCAGTTGCTGGCTAGGGTCTGTGCCCTGGGGTCCATGCTGTGGGAGAGGGGAGGGAGGATGCAGGGAGAAGCCAGGCAGACACTGTTCTGCCTGCAGTCCCCCACCCCCCTTCTCAGTAAGCTGGAGCAGTGATAGTGCTCTGGCTAGGGAGGAGAGGGTTGGGGCCAGCCCTGTTCTCTGTAGCAAACGGCCCAGCCCAGTCCAGGGCTGAAAAGTGTGCTGGGATGCTGGGGAACTCTATTTAATTTGAACCAGGAAGGGGTCTGGGACAGAAGTTGCCTAAAACAGTTTGACCCAAATCGGTTAAGTCTGATACTACATTCAACCAGGTTTATCTTAAAGCAGTTTCAGCTATTTTGAAAGTGGTTTATATGCACTGAACTTCTGTTCTGTTACAGGTTTAAATCAGTTTTTGATCACTTAAACCAGTTTATGTGTAACTTCTGTCCCTAGCCTGTGAGACATAGGATACTGTACAAGATGGACCTAGGGTCTGACCCAATAAATGGCATTTCTTATGTTCTTATCTATCCCAGTGATTCTCATCCAGGGTGTTTGTGGTTCCCAGGGGTACCTTGAGATCCCCTCAAGAGTGCCACAGGGTGCCACTCAGTGTTAGCACAGGTAGGTGTTAGCCCTGTTAAGTGTACACACAATTCACAAGATAAACCCAGAAATTTCAAATAGAGATTCATAGCATTAAACATATAATTCTGCCCTATTGTGGACTTTATGAATTATGCGCAACAGAAGAATTGCCAGTTATTTTTGTAGTAAAAAAAAAAGGGAAAATGGAGAACTGGCATTTTCTGAGGATTGCCTTGAGTCTAAAATGGTTGCAAACCACTGATCTATCATGTAGTGGTGAATTTAATTCAAGTTCAGGCTGGACAATTGCAGCAGAATTGGAGTTCAATCTACCACATTCCAACACAGTTCAGTAACATCTTGCTTTCACAGCTATCCAGCCTCATGACAGGGGCAGCAAAGCCAACCTAGGGGGAGATTGCAGCAGAGTGGGCCCACTGCTCAGCCCCACAACCCCAGCCCTCCCCATATCTGTGCAGGAATGAATCTCCCTTCCCATTTTTCTCTTCTTCCTCAATCCTAGAGGTAGTAGGC